CTTTGGTTCTTTTTTTTTTTTTTAACCAGTTTAATGAGGGAGAGAGTTGAGGCATCACAATGATGACTTTGGATCATTCTATCTAGGGACTCTATCCCTTGGTCCTGGACTTGAGAAATTTCCACAAAAAGGAGGCTCCCTTTAAGTCCAGATGAGTGGGATTTGATCCCAGAGAGTATGACTTCTTGGTTTCAAAGCAAGGGATCCACTCTGGCTCTCTAGGGATAAGTTTGTGAAAGTGAGATGAAGAGACAAAAGACAATGAAAACCAAACAGGGTGGGAGAAGATGGTAATGAAGATGGTTAATGGGATAGACTGTAGAGAGGAGGCCTAGGATGGGTCTGGCCCAGGACAGCTGTTGCTGTGAGGGCCATAGGGCCCTTGTGCACTCAGTAAGACAAGCTTCAGCCATGAGAAACTGAAGCTGCAGCACATGGAGGGCAGAAAGACAATTCTAATGTCTAGGAATCCATGAAGACTGGAGTGTTGGAGGCAATGGCAGCAAACCCAGGCCAAGTGGGGTTACCAATGAACCCACTGGGCTTCTTACATGACAAACCCATCAAGCAATGGATTTGTTCCTGAACCTGAACTCCAGAGAATGAATTCATGTGTGTGTGTGTGTGTGTATCGACATATACACACACATGCATGTATATATATATATAATACATATATATATATACTCTAGTGCACATAGTCAAACACATGCATAAATTGCCCTGTGTTAAAAATATTGCATAAGCTCATACAATGTTCAAATGCAATTTGTCTGTAGCTAGCTAAGTAGAGGAACACACGAGAGAGAGTTACCCAATATATATTTATCTACACTGGATCCACAGACCTGCATGTCCTCAGACCAATGCTTTGGTCAGCTGTGCAGTTCTGCCTATGACTCAGTTAACTCTTAAAGTATATTCTGTGAGTGTTTAGACTCTAATTTCCCTGCTTGTTCTCCTGGCTTCACAGAGATCTGGACTCCCACTGAAAGAACAGAGATGGGTGGGCTGGAGGGCCAGAAGTTTTGGTTCCCCATTTCAAATAGTCTATTTTCTTTTCCTGATGGAGGACTTTTGCCTTCTAATGGGAAAAAAACCCCTAGTTTGATACCATCCCAATGCTATTAATATTCTAAATATGAATACTGTGTAGACTACTAAGAAAATAGGTTATCTCCTGTGTTTTAAATATCAAGAGTCATGCAACGAACACCCATGCAGCTCAATGGCATCACTGGTAAATGTCACTGCAGTGTCAGTATAGCTGGGCCACATCACTAGGAAAGCAGATGTCTGCAAACTCCAGTGTAAACAAAGAAATCAGACATGTTTTTGTGACCCCGAAGCCTGCAAAAATGGTGATATCTGAAGCTGAGAGGTCCCTTGGTTGGGTAGCTTCTCCCCGAAGCCTAAGGGAATAAATGTGAAACTTGACAACTCATATTTGGTCACACTAACTGTCCCTCCCCCGGGCTTCCCTCACTTTGACACTGCAGAGAGAAAGCAGAATGCAGCGTTTCCCATTATGAAACACAGGCCTCTGGAGTATCTACTTGGTAAGTGCAGTTGACAAACCTCAGCCTATGACACAGATAGTAATTCTGACACATAGGACTGTGTGTTCCTTTCAATACAAAAAAGGGAATGACCTTTTGAATAGCCACCAGAGTTTTAAAGCTAAGCCATGATGGTGTTCCTCTGTTGAGGGGCAGGTGGGCTGGAGTGGGGTGGTAGGGGAGGGGGAGGGGAGCATATCTCCCAGGTGTTGTGTACATTTAATTAGGAAGGAAGGGTGGCACTAATATGGTTGAATGTGTATGGGATATAAGTGGCCTTGATGTGTCTTTCTGAAATCCTGGCTCCATAGGTGACTCTTATCTTTGGAAACCCGTAAGTCAACGTGATGAAGATTTGCATGAAAGCCATGATAGATATTCTGTGTTCTAAATCAAAAATCAAATATCAAAAGTCACTGGCACGACTATTGCTTTCCATGCAGAATCAGATGCACACTGTAGAACACACTGACTACAATGCAGGCTATTATGCAATGTCTGCATTAGTCCTGTGGAGCTGTGAGTTATGTTAATAGTTTCCAATCAGACATCGGTTAACATTTTGGTAATATTCACATAGTTTGTGTTAGCCAAGGTACAGTTGGCTGTTTTTAAGTTTTCCTCTCTAAAGTCCTCATTACTGTTGTTTACTCCCTCCTGGATCTCCATGTAATCCGACTTACTTATGGTAGAGGCACTTCTACTTTTCTTTAGGTCAGGGGAGGATGGGATCTTTGGACAGCTTGTCACTTGCAAGTACTGGGCCTGCTCCTCTCCCTCTGTCTCCCGGTGGTAGAAGTAGTTGAAATTAGACACGATGACAGGGACCGGTAAGGCAATGGTTAACACACCTGCAATTGCACACAGGGAACCCACTATCTTTCCCCCAATGGTAGTTGGAACCATGTCTCCATAGCCTACGGTTGTCATGGAGACGACTGCCCACCAGAAGGCATCTGGGATGCTGGGAAACTGGGAATCTCGCTCATCGGCTTCGGCAAAATAGACAGCACTAGAGAAAAGGATGACCCCAATGAACAGGAAGAATATCAGGAGGCCCAATTCTCTCATGCTGGCTTTGAGGGTCTGACCTAGAATCTGGAGTCCTTTGGAGTGTCTGGACAACTTGAAAATCCTAAAGACTCTTACCAACCGGATGACACGGAGGATGGCCAGGGACATGGCCTGCTGGCCCTGCTGGGCGTCCTCTGGTTTCTCAGCCAGCTCTGTCCCCAGGGTGATGAAGTAGGGAATGATGGCTACGATGTCAATGATATTCATGATGTTGGTGAAGAAACCGGCTTTGCTGGGACAGGCAAAGAACCTCACCAAAAATTCAAAGGAGAACCAGATGATACAGAGAGTCTCCACAATGAAGAAAGGGTCGGTGAAGGAGGTGGACTGCTGGTACCCAATGGTGCTGTTGGAGTAGGTGTGGAAGGTCACCCCACCACCGTGCATATCTTCGTTCTCATCCCGGAAGATAGGCAATGTTTCCAGACAGAAGCTGACGATCGAGATCAGAATTACCATGACAGATACAATGGCTATAATCCTGGCAGGCCCCGAGCTCTCAGGGTATTCAAAGAGAAGCCACACCTGTCTCTGAAACTCATTTTCCGGCAGAGGACGCTCTTCCTCCTTGATATAGCCTTCATCTTCTCGAAACATCTCCATCGCTTCTTCTCCTAGCTCATAAAACCGGATTTCTTCAGAGAATATATCTAAGGGCACGTTCACAGGTCGCCTCAACCGGCCCCCAGATTGGTAATAGTACAAAATGGCATCGAAGCTAGGGCGATTTCGATCAAAAAAGTACTCATTTCGAAGGGGATCAAAGTACCGCATCCGCTTCTTAGGATCCCCTAAGAGGGTCTCTGGAAACTGGGCTAAGGTCTTTAGCTGAGTCTCAAACCGCAGCCCGGAGATGTTGATCACCACCCTCTCACAGCACTCGTGGTCTGCCTCTGGGTCATAGGTGTCCTGTGGGTGCCCAGGGAGGGCGGCAGCCTCATCCACTGGGTCTCCGGTGGCCACTGTCATAATTAGGACTGAGAGGAGCGCTTCACACTACGCCTTCCAGCTGCCTGGTGGCAGGGAGCTCAGGGTGCTGCTAGTGGCTCCAGGAAACACAGCAGCATTGGCCTGCACTGCTGCAGGAGAGCTCCGTGAGCTCCCTGAGAGCTGGAGAGACAGCCTCCCTTGGCTGAAAGACAGAGGCAGTTGAGGACATGAGACACTGACATTGGTAGCCTGGCACTGGCTTGCTGCAACTTGGCTGTCTCCTAGCTCTCAGCCAATTTATTTCAGAAACAAGATGACCACCACCACCACCATCACTACCTAATTTTACTTTCACCTTTGTAACTTGTCTGGGGATCTGTGGGGAACGGGGAACAATCTTTCAAGGAAGTCTTAGACTGGGGGCAGGTGGTTGGTACAGGCCTCTCTGCACCACACAGCATCCTGGGGCATAGCTCTACCTGAGTTGGCAAGGAAGGACCCTTTCCCAGGCACTGCACTAAGGTCTTGCAAATACCTATACCCTGGGAGGTATCCATGGTGGGGGATCTTGGGTCCTGAGTCTTCCTCATTGACACCACCCTGGTGACTCAACACATGGCTGGTATTAAACAACAGATTGATTTACCTGACCAGGCAGGAACCTGAGGCTCTCTCTTTGCAAAGCTGATCAGATGCTGAGGAATCCTAGATGCACAAATAAGTAGCCCAACTCCCCATCACGTCTTCTCACTTGAGCTAGAAATAATGGTGAGTCATTCTGGGCAGGAGGGCAGGCTCCAGGTCCTGGAGGTGAGTTCTAGGGCTGGACTGGGCTGCAGGGGCAGTGGGGTGCCTGGCCAGGGTCATGCGGTACTTGAGAACAGCAGCATTGGCTCTGGAGCCTTTGGAAGGAAGGAGGCAAGATGAGCAGCTTAGCAAAAGCAGGGGTCCTCCTGGTTGTCCTCAGGTAGCGTGACGTTGCCTAGAAAACACAGCAGCAAGGTGGAACCAGGGCTTGCAGCCAGCTGGTGCCAAGATTTAAGAGGGCTCTGGTAGCTCTCTCACTGCAAGTGACAAGCCCCCAAGGCCACCTTCCATTGTGGTGCCTATGATTGAGAACCACCCTGCAGCCACCCAGCTTCTTCTGGGCAGCCTTCATCCCCACCAGCTTGAAATACTTGCTTCCAGAAACAAGCCTTCAGGCTGAGCTGAGCTTTCTTCTCCAGGAGTCTAATCCAGACCCCTAGATCCTACCTGCCATCAAGGAGGGACTTTGCGCAAAGCACCCTCTCCACCCCCACCAACCAGGACACACACCTCCCAAGGGGAGGGCTTCCTCTCTGCAGCCTGACTACAAGCACTGACAGAAGCAGGACCCCTTCCTCCCCAACATACACCCTCCTTAGTGCTCATCTAGGGAGACCCCACAAGCCAGCAAGGTTTCCTCTGCAGAAAGCTGGCTGGCTGGCTCTGAACTTACTCTCCCTCTGGGATCCCTGGGCCACGGGCCTCCCTGTGAGCCGGGTGGCATTTGAGCTAGGCAGGCGCTCGACCACTGATTTCTCCTCAAGAGAAAATCCCTCACATGTCCTCGGCAGGGAGCGCAGAACAAACGCCCAGCTTGCCTGGCTGCGAGGCGGCTTGGCAGCAGCCAGAGGGGGAGCCTGGAGGAAGCTGGCTTCCGGGCTGGCCCCCTGCCGACCCAATCCTGCGGGCCCCAGGGCGGGGAGGGGTCTGAGCCCTCTCCCCATCGCCCCGGGCTCCAGCCGGGATTCCGCGGCTGGCGAGCTCTGCGCTTGGCTCAGAGCCGTGGAACAGACCCTCCAGCGGGCCGAGGACAAGAGCGCCACCTTAACTCCTTCCTGCCCGGTGCGGTTGGCTCCCGCCGCGGGCCCGAGTGAAAGCCCAGGGACCACCGAGGCTCCATCTCCACTTAAGAAACAGGAACCTGAGCTTTGGGGTGGGGAATAGACTGCGCCAGGCTGCTGCCCCTGATCTAGCTTCCTCCTGTGCGCGGGGAATCCGCGGCAGGCACGGACCCCCAGCGAAGGGGAAAAGCCCCTCTCTGCAACGAAGCCGTTTTTATCCCGTTGCAGAGGCGAGTGCAATCCCGCCGACCCAAGTGACTCGGATCCTACAACGCGCGCTATTTACCAGACGTGGTTATGCTGTCAGCTGCACTTCCCATCACCCGCCAGCTCCTCTCTGCGCCCTCCGCCCTGTGCCACGCACACCATAGAGGGTCCCCGAACCCATTCCGTGCACTCTTCTTCTGCAGGGGAAACCCCCAAACCCAGCTCGTGCGGGTCCAGGACCCTTCCGGCAGCCAGCACGGGTCGTCACGGGTTCTCCCGCCCCGGGCTCAGCCTGAGCCAGCTGCGCTGCAGGCTGCGCCGCCCGGTGCCCTGAAGCCCCTCTGGGCATCGCATCCCAGCTTGGAGAGGCAGCACGCGCAACCCAAAGCCCCGACACGGATTTACCCTTCCAGATGGGCACCCGAAGCCTCCATGTTCCTGGGTGATGGCCAGTACCGGCAGAATCCCGGCAGCGGGATGCGGCGGCGGCGGCGGCGGCGGGGTGCGGGCGGCCAGCCGGGAGCCGGCTCTGCAGTCCCGCGGGCGGCGCGTACAGAGCGCCCGGCCGCCGCCCGCAGCCGCACCGCGCCGCACCGCGCCACGCAGCGCCGCACCTGGCCCGGCAGAGAACTCGAATTAAAGGGACCGGGACCGGCGGGGGTCAGAACCGACGAGGTGCGATTGGAACCCCGGGATGAGCCCCCACCCCTCTAGGAAGACACCCCAGTTTACTAACCAAAACCCGGTGCCAAGTTCAAGTGGGTGCTGCCAGGGCCCGGAGAAATGGAGGGGACCGAAGTTGCGCGCTTAGGAGAGACTCCTGACAACATAATGAAGTAGGCAAGAAGGAAACAATCAATACAGCAGCTATCCCAGGCCCGAGGCAGGATCCAGTCCTGCGGGAGAAGAGCTATTATTAAGATGCTACCAGACAGGATCTGTGGACCCCAGAACCCCCGCGCTCTCTGGCCTGCGCGCCCCCTCCTCCAGCTCTGCTGCCTACTTCGCTCTTCTTACCCAGAAAGAATTTGGCTTCTCTGGGGAATGCAGCAGGTGCAGGCCTGGCCGCAGGGTGGCACAAACTCTCTGCTGTGTTTGCCCCCACCAGGAGGAGCCGCAGGGACAGCAGAACTGCAGGGCTGGCCTCTAGCGTCCCAAACTCCCTCCTCCACCTGAAACCCCCCCGGAAGGCTGAGGGACAAGCAATTGCCCTTGGGAAAGGCCAATTACTTACAAGGCGGACCCTCTCACAGACCTGAGTAAACTAGCTGGCCCATGGCGTCGTCTGAATTTGGGAGTGAAGCTCCCAGCACCCTGGGATGGGAGAATGTGTTTAGGAAGCCCAGCCTATCCTCCACTTAGATGGGGGAGTCTACTTTGGTTTTGGAAGCTACACAAAAACCCCATGCCCCTACCAGTTCTGTTCTTTGGAACATGGGACAGGTGTTCCAAACAGTTTCTTTGAGATCTGTGGAAGTAGCCAATGACCTCTGCATTCAGAAGGGCATCTAGTAATTGGAAAGGCTCCTGCTGGACCCTCCCTGCTCAGAGGACCCCCTCTCTGTTTCCCCTTCTCTGCAGGATTCTGTCATTTTGTAGTGGTAGTCTACAGAGTGTTGTTTAAGACTCTGAGTCTACCCAGAGCTTCAGGGTGTAGTCTGGGAGGGTAGCGACTTTAGTGAGCTTGGAGGATGATTGGGGACTCTAAGGCAGGGATGGTTTGGCCTAGGGTCCTTTGAAGATGGGCTGGCAATATCCTAGCTAGAGGCTGGCTTGAGTGTTTTGGAGCCAACCAGACTCAGGCCTACATCTTTTCCAGTTATGAGGTGAGTTAATTTACTGAAAAATGAGGTAACCCTCTCAAGGTGTGGTGAGGCTTAGATTGTTGCTGGAGAAGGGTTTAGCACCCAACAGACACTCAGTAAATAAATAATGGTTTCTGTGCTTTGCTGCTCTGTGAAGCTGTCCATTACCCCTGTTGTCCAACTTACGCTTCTACTCACACATTGCATTGTTCTCTCTGCTTCCTACTTTCTTCACTGAGGTCTCGGTCATTCCCTGTCCCTTCACAGAACTGTCCCCTAGAACCCTGCCCTGCACTCCTGGAAACTTCCCCTGACCACACCCTGCTTCTCCTACTTGCCACACTAGGTTCTCATGTGACCAAAGTCCATCAAATTATCCATTTGTGTCTGTATGTTTTCTTTGCTTTTTTTGTTGTTAAAACAAAAGACGTGGACAGAAAAAAAGCCCTTGAGGAAGAACTAATAACGGTTCCAGCTGGTGGCACATGTTTATCATGTATCAGGTACCGCTAACCTGTGTAACCTTGGATCCCCAGCCCTGTGATAAGCTGTATATACCAGTACCATTTTATAAAAGGAAACAGAGTCAGAGAGAGAGGACGTAACCTGCCCACACCAAGAAGCAGTGGCCTTAGGACTTGAATCAGGTTTTTGTACCCTTCAACCCCAGGACCCTGCTCATGAGGGGTGGGCAGCCTGGAATTTCATTTCCCTCTTTGGGATTTTCCTCTGATCTCCTCACTTGGCCTCAGGGGTAGGTTATCCTCCTTCTCCCTTTTAAATCTGACCTAAGTGTGAACAACAATGAAAAAAAATTAAGGAAGGAAAAAAAGAAGAAGAAATACAATGAGAATTGTCTAGGAACACTGTATGCGCCTTCCCGGAAAGGTACTTTCATTGGTATCTTGTGTCATTGCAATAAATAGTAATGAGTGCTGGGGATTTGGCTCAAGTTGGAAGAGTGGCTGCCTAGCAAGCGCAAGGCCCTAAATTCAATCCCCACTACCATATTCCCAGTTGACACTGGGCAAGTTTTGAAACTCTCTGAGCCTGATTCCCAATCTGTTGAATGGGAGAACAAAGCTACTTTTACAGGGTGGTAAGGATGACACTGGTTACAAGGAGTGGGCAGGCAAGCAGCTTTCCCGATAAGCTAAGCCAGCAGGCTTGTATTCACGGACAACACCATTCTTATTTTTAGCTCCAAATGAACAGCCAAGGAGTTCCCTTAATCCCTTCCCTGGGCAGAGTGAAATCCCCCTTCCAAGTCTTCTCCTTTCCGCGCTTTGTTTTTCTTACCTGGGGGACAGGTTTTGCCTTCAGAGGGAAGAGTCCTGGTTACCACTACAGGGAGATGGGTCATTTAAAAGAAGAGTTTGTGACTCTGACAGTGAGAGCACCCCATTCCCACACCAAGGGACAGAAGGGAACAGCAGCTCTCCACTTCTCCATCACCATTTATGAACTCAGAAAGACTGCATGATTCCCTTCTCTGCTGACACTCTCCTTCCTGGCATGAGCACCACCCCTGTTTGATGCTCCTGTAGCGGCTGGCTCACCTGCGTGGTGGCACACTCCCGTGCCCACAGGCAGGCTGGGCAGGGGAGCATGGTTAACAGTCCCCTAGAGGTTATTTGACTTTATGCCTTCAGCCAGTCAGAGTTTGAAAAGATGTCATTGTCTCTGTTTTACAGATCAAGATATTGAAGCTCAGAGAAGACCTGTAAATGACAAGGTTGGTACCAAACTCAAAATTGTGTGTCTCTTTACAATGCCACTCTGCTAGTTCGGTGCCAGGTTTCTGGGCATATGTCCCCACTTGGATTCAGTCCAGCAGATGTTGAAGATCCCTAAGGCACACCCACATGGCTTTTGGGGGGGCATCCAACCTGATAGGAGGTCTGTTTTAGAAGGGCGTTGGTGCTGGTGTCAGTGGCTAACTATTCACACATTGACTCAGGGACTGAGGTTGTGGAATTGGGGTCTGGACCCAAAGTTTGTGCTGTGTACCAGTTCTAGGAGCAACCCTACTAATGCTTTCCACAACTGCATGGCCTCAGGCTAAGCAGCGCTCAGCCTGGCTAAAGGGGAGTACAAGGCAGAGCATCTAGTTAGGGCTGAATTCTGGGTTTCAGTCTTAGTGTGCAAAGCTGTGTGACCCAAAGACACTCACTTGACCTTGCTGTGCTATGTTCATTTGTGACCTTGGAAAGACTGCATTCTGTCCATCTACCTGTCTTATTCATCGGATGTTAAGGAAGGAGGAGGACAGAAGCAAGAAGACTAACATGCACTGTTAGTGTGTATTAAGATCTCATTTGTTAGGACCAGTGAGCAGGTGAACATGAACATACAAACAGATTTGGAGAAGCAAAACGCCTGGGCAGCACGGCCAAGTCCACTGTGCGGTCATGGTCGTCACTGCTGCTGTGGTTATGTCCTGTTGATGTGCACCATGCCTGATGAAGGAACTCCCTTGGGGGTCACATGGACATTCCTTCTGGTGACCGCTTGATCTCAGACGTCTGCTAATTAACTTAGAAGTCAAGGTCAGTTTCCTACAAGAAGCTTTGTAGATTGAGCCCAGCTGCCTCCAAGGGGCTCCTGTGCAAAGGCCCGAGCTTTGGCTTCCCTTGATGGATGCTGCTGTACATCCATCTTACTGCACTGCAAATACTGGCCCAATAGGATATGTTAGGGACTGGCTGAGGAGGGTAGCCCACTCCTACAGGTCACACTGCTGCTCTGTGGCAGGCACTGTATGGTTGTCTTACTGTCAGGCCCCCTCCTGATAACACCTTTGGGTTAAATATCATGGTTGAAGCAGCTGTGAGTGTCAGCAGGTCTAGGGGCTAATCTCAGCTTCCCTCACTTTGACTCTGTGACTTAGTTTCCCTACAGTGCATTTTCACTGTGTGGCTAGAATGTAAAGCACTTAGAATGGAGCCTGTCCAATGCAAACATTGTCAGCCACCTGCAGCATCATCCCCCTCAGTGTGGCCCCAAAATCTTCTCTATTGAAGATCAAAGTTAGGTGGTCTATAGTGAGCTGTTAGGGCAGATGCCTTTGGTATTCTGGTCCCCTCCCCTTGGATCACCTGTGATGTCACCTCCCTGTGGAAGATGGTGTCATGCTCACTGTCCCTTGGCTTTTCTGACTCAGGACTCTTTCTGAGGCTGTGATGACTCAAGTGGCTTCTGAGGGTGGCAGGATGTATTCCTCAGACAGACAATGCACACTCCCCAGTGGGCTCCTCTGTGGCTGAAGTCTGTGTGGAGTCCCAGTCACTCACAGTGACAATGGTTCCACATGATGGGCTGGCTGACTGTGCAGGACAGAGCCAGGAGGAAAGGTCACCCACCTTGCCCCTTCACCCTAGCTTCAGACAGCTGACTCCAGATGGATAGCCATTGCTGTCTCCCTTGGTGCTCTGACTTCTGACCAGACCTCTCATGGGTTCTACTTCCCCGTCCTGCTTCTTCTCATGCTCCTTGTGCTGTGAGAGACACTGCCACTGCCCCAGCTATCAAACCAGACACCTGGGAGTCCTTATCAGCTCAGTCCTCCACTGGACACCCTCCACATCCAGCCAACTACTTGGTCTTGGGCTCTTAGCACTCTCTCTGGCACCCTTTCCCTCTTCTCTCTGGTGCCTTGGTTCAGCACCAGTAGGCAGTGCCTGGACCCCTGCCTTCAGACTAGCTTCCCTCTGTTCTCTTCTCCCCACAACTGCTACACTAATCCTTCTAAAGTGCCAATAGATCAGGTCACCTCTTTAGCTCCTATTTGTTTCCCT